AAGACAGTTCCTGCCCTCAGGGAGCTCACAATCTAATGGGAGAGACAACATACAAACAAATATATATGAAACAAGCTACATACAGTAAATAGTTAACATAAGGAAAACATTGGACTTAAAAGGGGGTTAGGAAAGGCTTCTTGTAGAAGGTAGGATTTTAGTTGGGACTTAAAGGAAGCCAGGGAGGTCAGTAGTCTGAGAGGAGGAGGGAGAATTTTCCAGGCATGGGGGTGGGTGGGAAGGGCAGCCAGTTCCTACTCACTAAACCTACAGTCTCAATTTTTCTAATTTTCTTTCTAAAAGAAACAATTCTTGAGCCCAAGGTCCTTCGAACATTAGGTAAGCAGCTCCTTTCCAGCTCTGAAATTCGGTGATTCATTTTAATATTCTTAGAATTAGAGAAGTAGTCTTCCTTCCTCTAATACACCATAAGTTATGAAATAAAATTGCATTTACCCTCATGTTCTTCCCTCCCCCAGTTTTTCTCCACTATTTGTGAAATTGAAAAACTTTCACTGATGAGCTCACTCTGTAAAAGGGTAAACCTGCTTTCCTTCAACTTGCAATACCCCGGTTGCACTGTGGGTGTCATCTCACTGGAGCTGAGGTCCCAGACCCCATCCTTGTGGACACACTCCTTTCTACCACTTAGTTCACCTTGAAACAACCAATTTACAGTACAAAATATTATGCAACAGGAAAATGGCCCCTTTGGCCAACATTCTACCAAGAGGGAAGGGGAGATAGGGATGCAGGAGGCTTGGTTATTTTTTTTTTGTAGTGTTTACCCTTAACAGTTCAATTTTTAAAATTACCTAACTGAAATAAAAGATCAGAATGAGGAATCATGCTCATGATTTCTGAGCTTCTTGTTAACTATTCTAATTATTTAGGTAATGCTTCAGCTACTTGCAAGTTAGAAGTAACCAGGTACACTTACCTGTGTGTGTGTGTGTGTGTGGTATGTATCCATGCATATGGAAAACTCAAAGGGATGGCAAATAAAGTTCAACTATTAACTGTCTTTGCTGGTATCTCTCTGGAGCCCAGGGAGAAAAGAAAAGTAAATTAAAGTAGGGCAGAAAGAAGGGAAGGGAAGTTTAGCACTTAAATTAATAGCAGCCAGGCAACCCCTCTCCTCCCCACTTTAACTGGCTCAGCACTAGGGACATTTTGAGTCACCAATTATAATAAGTATCATTCCAGAGTCTGAAAATTTTTTTTTCTTCAAAAAGGCAGGCTTATTATTGGGTCAAAAAGATACAACATTATGCAACTCGGTCTTAAAGTATAGTTATATTAACATATGAATGAAGCCCCAAAGGTGATTGAGGAGGATTTAAAGGTAAAGTCAATAGGTTGAGTAAGTTCCTAAGACAGACTTGACTGAGAAAAGAAGGGAGATGACTCATCACAATAAGTTAAAATGATGTAAAATACAACTACATTGAATACAGCTATATTTTTGATACACTACTGCAGTGCAAGCCTTGGGGCTCACTTTCTCAACCCCAGCCATCAACAGATTGGGTTCCTATAGTGGGGACCGGCTACTTGTCTAGGTCTGTCCTCCATTTGAATGCCCAGATTCTAGGATGACTTGCTATGTTATACAAGCCCCATTGGGTGTGATTATCTTTTCAACCAATGCCAACATATTTCCCATGTTGCTTTATTTCATTTCATCCAATGACTTTCTTTTTTTTTCAAACTGATTAAGAATTTTTCATGTACTTAAATGCCTTGGATTGGAGATTGATCAATTCAGTCTTTAGTTTGATTTAGTAAGGTTGAGGTTGCTTTTTTAAGTTGTGTCAGGTAATTGAATAACTCAGTAGACTCCCTTACAACTAATAAAATGAACACTTTAAAAGAAGGTATGGATTCTAAAGAGTCTACCATTACAGAATATCAGCCACCAGATGAAGGAAACAAATGCTATTTCTAATTCCATTGTATAATTCCATCAAAAAATTGGTTCCAAGGAGTGCCAGGGTTAAGTTCTCATTCAGTCCTTTTCTTGAATGCTTAATAGATGCCAGCTTAATTAAGTCACAAACACTAACAATGGCCAGGGGGGTATTGGGAAGTCCATCAAAACCTGTAGCATGTGGACAGTAAGTCAGTCTTCACATGCGGCTGTATAGGGTTACTTGTACATAGATGACTGGAGCCTTAGGACAGCAACACGTGATTCCATTAGACACTGTCAACATGGCATGTGCCAAATCTGCATCTCCCAAAGCTCTGAAGTTAAGCATTTGTACTCATCCTCACCCTCCCAATATACACAAGAAAAGCTCTCCATCACCCCCATTTCAAGAGATGGGCAGTAGGTGGAAAGGAGAACTCATTCATTTCCTTCAGGACAAGAGAGAATTTAAAAGTTGCTTATCAGATCCAATTTCACCAAGCTCTTCTCTTCAGCTAAATCGGGTACTTAATGCACAAAGTCAGAGAGGTGTCGCCCCAGCACCTCCAAATGGGTCATTACAATCCCGAGGAAGAAAGAAAACCAGTTACCCAATTCCAATTCCGAACCTTCATCACCCTCTGTAGAACTTCCACCTGCATGAACTGTCAGACATCTCAGATGTTGTTATTCCTACCCTTGAGGCTTTTAAGCAGGGCACATGACCCAGATTTCGACCCAGTCTCAACCTTCAGGCAGCCGTCTCGGCCTCAGTAGCCTCATCTTCATACAATTGTCGACTTCTGTCTGTCTGCTGCCTTTGCTACCTTGTCCTCCCTGTCCTCGACATACGGCCAGATCAGTAACTCTGTTTATTTGAGAAAAGTACTGGAAGTCTAAGGCATGTCGAGAGTAGAGCAAAGAGGAAGGCGGAGAGTTGAGAAAGGAAGGGAAGTACCTTTTTTTTTTTTTAAGTTTCTTAAAGATAGGTTATAGTTACGTAAAAATGTGGTGGGTACATGCGGAACTGATCAAGGGGAGAGGGCAGGGCGGGACTCCCAGTCCCGTACTCTGGGCTTTCCCGCTTCAGTACTACTGAGCTGTCAAATGCAGCCTCCCCAGAGCTTGACTGGCACAGAAAGATCTCCAAATTCAAGTCAGTTGCTCTTAATGTCAAAGAAGGAAATGGGTGGTTTCCCCAAGTACACACACAGACAAGCCCCACCTCCAATCTTGAGACACCCCCCCCTCCCCTTTCCCAGCTCCCCAGCCTTGAATAATCTCTCAACTGCAAAGCTTTCCAAAACTCAGGAAGGGAAATCTTGAACCACTACCCTGTTCATCAAAAGCTCGGAAGAAGAGCTCCCTGCAAGTGTCACAGGGGGAAGGGCAGAGGAGGGTGAGGGTGAGGGTAAAGGTGTGGGTGTGTGCTAGGGCGTGCAATTGTTATTCAAGTGAGACTCCCAGCTACATAAGTTACCTCCGGATGATAACAACGTCAAGTACTTCTCTCCAGCTCACAAAATTGAGAGGCAAACCTCCACCTCTACAATTCTTCAATTCCCTTCTCCCTCCCGCCCTAAGTCTGCAACATCTGGAGCCATAAAAATTTCCTAGGCATATGGGTGGCCCCCGCACCCACCTAGTCCACCTTCTAGTTGGAATATATATATATATATATATATATACATATATAGGCCAAGGCATCTTTGGGCATTGTGAACCCAGTTCACTCCGGCGTGACTCAATCAGACAGTACAAACAACACCACTGAAAAGTAGCCCCTCACCTTCCTAAATTCTCTCTCATCTCCACCTCTTGTCCCAGAAAACTGCTCCCTCCCAGAGCCATCAGTAGGCTCCCGGAGCCCTTTCCAAGATCCCTGAAGGCGGGCGAGGCTGCCCATTTCTCCAGGGCGGTCTGTAAGTTTCATGCCTTACCTGTCGGCTAGCAGAGAAATTCAATACTCGGCCTCTCTCTCCTCTCCCCACTCTCCTCCCCTCTGCAACAAGCATGAACTGGCGCCCTCTGCTGAGTCACCCGAAAGAGTGCGGGGGTGGGGGTGGGGGAATTGGGGAGGAGGAGAGGAATAAGGAGTGTGTGTAAAGCGGGCGAGTGGGCAGTAACAGATACAGGACCAGAGGTTAATGTGCAGTGACCCACGTTAGCTCTTTCCTCTCCCTTCGCACTACACACCACCTAGCAAATGGCCGCCTCTAGGTTAAAGGAGGCAGGCTCCCTCCACCCAGCCCTTCCCAACTAAAAGAAAGGACAGTCATGGTACAGTCGCCGCCCGGAGCCAGCGGCCAAAGCCCCAGACCCCGACAGCCCCGCGAAGTCAGGGCGCCGACACGCAGGGAGCGGAGCCAGAAGAAGAGATTCCACCTCGCGAGGAGGGCGAAAGAACCCACACCCTGGCCCCAGGCGGCGTCCTAAGGAAACTGCCGGGAATCAGACGGATGCAAGTCCTATTTTAAAACTCCGGCAGATTTTTTCCTGTCCTTGAAAACTGAGTACTGTCCTGTATTCCCAGCAGCTTGAGAGACTGAGAGGGGAAAAGGGGAGGGGGAGGGCTTTTGGGGAAGCCCGACTTATCAACTCCCCCTGGGTCCTAAGGAGAGTAGGCAGGGTGCAACTTCAACCCCAGAGTTCCGGTGCCCCCTAAGTTTAGGGGCCAACTAGGCAGGCTCCAGCCCCAGGGACGGCGGTTGATAGAAAGAGATCGACCAAAGAAATAAAGACTTGGAAGCAACGCTCTCTCCAGCCTTCACCAGGCTCTGTCTCACCTGTGCAAACATCCGCAGCATAAGCTGGCGGACCCCCAGAGGTACTTGATTAAAACAACCGTTTCTGGTGGAGTGGAGGGGGGGGGGGGGGCAGGTTTGGAGATGAATAAAAGTTATCCGATTAGTCTATGTGCAAACCTCCCAATACCAGCTAGCTGAGGAGTTACCTCAGAGATGAGATGATTCCTCCCGGGAGAAACAGAGCTCGCGCACATGCATAAATGTGAACACACACACACACACACACACACACACACACACACGCACAGCCATACACACAAGCACATGCCTCCCGATCTTACCTTGGTAGTCAGTTGTGCCTCCAGAAAGCCCGTGGCCAGCAGCGCTCACACACCTGCCTGGACTCTCTCCTCCATAGACAAAGTTAGCGGTGGAGGAAAAACTTCCAGGGTGCAAGCCCCGGCTCTGGCTCCTAAAGGAGAGGGGCGCCAAGCCTTAATGCTCCGGTCTCCGAACTTCTTCGCACTCGGGGCAGCAACAGCAGCTCCCTGGGTGAAGCTGGATCCCGCGGAAAGGGGAAGAGGGACAGAGGGTCTTGGCCCCGTAATCCCCGGCGGCACCACCAGCAACAGCCCGGCACAAGTTTTGAGGCTCTACCCCGGCCCCCCCCCCAGTGCGTCCTTCCCCCAGCTTCTGCAAGCCTCAAGCCTGGAGCAAGGAGTGGAGTGTATTAATTATATAGCGACCTCAGCCGCGACCTCCCCTCGGTGTTGTGTCCCCCTCTCCCTACAGCCCCCTCCCCTCTCCAGCTCTGCCTGTCAGTCCACAGGCGCCGGGCTCTCTGAGTGGCCAGGACCGCGTGCCCAAGAAACCCGGCTGGCTCGAGCCCACCCTCTGGGCGCGCGCTCGGCCCTCCTCCTCCTCCCCGCTCCGCCCCTACTTGGTCCGGCTCCCTTAGGCCCCGCGCGCACACGCTCCTGACTCTCCCGCAGCAGCTCAGCGCGCGGGCACACCCCCTTGACCACACTCTGCTTCGCCCGGCGCTTCCGGGGGACAGGAACTGAGCTTGCCTTAAAGGGCCCACGCCTCCTGCTTAGCCGCAGCTCGGCTCCGCCCCCAGTTGTCCTGGGTTGGAGATAATAGCTACGGATGCGACTCGGAGTTAGAGTCAAATCCTAGAAGGACTTAATCACGTGCTGTGTTACTTGTTTGGGGGATGGTTGGTGTCGACTCCGCTTGGGTTTCTTCTCAACCCCTACCTCCTATCTCCAAATGTTGGTCTCTACTCAGTATTCTTCCTTTGTATGTCCCTAGAGAAAAATACAAAGGTGTATCTCAAGCCAGGTGTGTACAGAAGATAAAAGCTTTAACCTGCAATCTGGGGTTGACCTAACACCCCTTTGTCAATCAGTTCCTAACCCCCACCATCAAGACGTCAAGAAGCATTTACTGAACATCCACAGTAGCTAGGTTCTCTCCCTCCCTTTCCCTCTCCCTCTCTTTCTCTCTCTCTCTCTCTGAGACAGAGGGAGGGAGGGAAAGATGAACTGTCTGCTGCCCTCGAGAAGCTTAAAATATACAAGCTACACACACATGCAACTTTGGAACTTGTCCAAGACCGCGCACAAATGACTGAAAATTAATATACTATATCAGAAAGTCCGGCCTTCGATCCAGGCTCAAAACAGCCTAACATTATTTGTTAATTGCAAAATAAACACATCTTCAGATAGCCCGCTAGGCCTGAGTGACTTGGGCAGTATTTTGCACCTTTGGTGAGAAAGGGGATAAAAGAAAGCTGGCAGAAGTTGGAGGCACTTAACCTGTACAGATCAGAGGCATGTAAATAATTAACACTCACAGCTTGGAAGAGGTGCTCTTCTACTAGTCAGTAATTAATTCTTGTAAATTTTAGAGGGTCTGCCTAAAGTTTGTCTTGTGGTTTTTTTGGTGTTGTCGTTTTGGTTTTGTGTGTGTGTGTGTGTGTGTGTGAGGCATTTGGGGTTAAGTGACTTGCCCAGAGTAACACAGCTAGTAAGTGTTATGTGTCTGAGGCTGGATTTGAACTCAGGTCCTCCTGACTCCAGGGCGGGTACTCTTATCACACTGCACCGCCTAGCTACCCCTGGTCTTGTGTTTGTAAGGTTTCTGATAACATTTTGTAAACATCCTCCCAGGTCATTCTCCTTCCTTCCTCAAAAAAATGAATACTAGGCTCATAGTATTTCTCTCGACCTAACCCCTGCCCCCATGCTTGGGGACTTTACTATACATACTCAAGTCTCCTCAAACTCCTGGTCTCCCAGTCCATCAACCTACTTTACTGCCATGATTGACACTTCACTCCCAGTGGAGTGAATGCAAACCCACTGAAAACATTATACCCTTGGTGACATTATCATTTATATTTATTCAGCTTCCACGATCCCCAACTCTGAAATTCTCTTAGACAATAATCTTTTTTTCTTTCCATCTCTCCCTGTACCTCATGCCTCCTAAAGCTATTCTTGGTTTGCCATAGTGGCCTCTTGTCATACATTAGGTCTTCTATGGCCTCACTTTCCTCCCTTCTTAAATATGGCTTTATAACTTTGTGCTGTCCTCTATCCCCAAATTCCTTACCCCACTGCCATATCAAGTGGCTCATCCCTTTCCAAACTTCAACTCTTGGCCACGCCCAACATTTGCCTTCCTAGCTCCTGCCCCACGAGAAGGTCACATAACCTTGTTTACTGGTTCCACTACAAATTGGTGTTAATCTAATCTCCACTGGGGCTTCCTTGCTCCTCTTAAATCCTTTTCATTTTCCCTGGTGGACTATTATCTTGATTCTCACCTTCTGTTCCAAAACTAATTTCCTCAAAAGCCACTTAGATGACTCCTCCCCCATCACCCTCCTCAAACTTTATCTAGAAAACAGAAGCCATCAGTTGTGAGCACCCATCTTCTCTCCAGTTCTACACAAAATTTCAACATTTCCCCACCCTCTCCTCCTTTGTTCCCAGTCTCTGAAAAAAAGGTGGTCTTTTACGTTTTAAAATTTTATTTTCATTTAAATTTTTTGTTACATTTTGAGTTCCCAATTGTGTCTCCCTCTCTCTCTGAAACCCACATTAGAGAAGGCCAAGATTTGATGCAGATATATGTATAATACATACTTTATATATAATACATACTTCTATAGTCTTTTTATTTTGATATCACCTATTTTCCCCGTTGCATCCTGCCCTTCTCCCAGAGCCTACTCCCAGGGGAAAGGGACTCCCAGGTCTAGGAAGTACCCCACCTTCCATGGCAGGGAGTGTTTTGTACCAACCATTTTAAATTTTAGTCTACTGGCCCCAGGCACCTAGTGAGGAGAGGTTTGGAGGGACTTTTTTTTCTACTTTTGTCCCTATGTATTATTTTGTAAAAGTTAATTGCTATTGGAGAACACAGAGGATAAGAGTACCTAAAAGAAAATAAAGTATTAGAAAGAAATTCCAACCCCTTCCTCCATAATGAGAGAAGTAATTTAGGCTAGTCTTTAGGGACCTAATCTGCCCATGAGTGAAGGTTAGGAGAGAGCTCACAGAGGGTGCTACATAATCAAGAGCAAAAAGTTCTAAAAAGTTAACCTATCAAAATTTAAGGTTAGGGTTATCAAAATATCTACCATCAAATTCAGTGTTCTACAATCATGTTGTTTTAGTCATTTCAGTGATTTCTGATTCTTAAGACCCTAAGTTTTCTTGGGAAAGATACTGGAACTCATTTTACAGATGAGGAAACTGAGGCAAACAAGGTTAAGTGACTTGCCAGGGTCACAGAGCTAGTAGTGTCTGAGGCTGGATTTGTACTCATGAAGATGAGTCTTTCTGATTCCAACCCCAGAGCTCTATCTACTTCACCACCTAGCTGCCATAGACCCTCTACAGAGAGGTTCACATCTTTGAAAAACAGAAGATGGGATCTTTACTCCTTCTTTGGGGCCAAAGTTGATCATTTAAAAACAACTCAGTTGTTGCCTCCTACATGAAATTTTTCCTGATCCCTGAGTTGCTAGTATCTCTCTCCCAAAACGACCATAGATTAATTTTGTTTCTGTATTTTATATATGTTCTTGTCTTCTCCCCGTTAAAATATAAGCCCACTTAGGGTGCGGAATGTTTTCACTTTTGTCTTTTGTATTCCCAGCACTTAACCCCCAGTGTTGAGCATATGTGAGATACTAAATAAATGCTTCATCGATTGATTAATTGCTTCCATTAAGCGATCAATTCTTTGCTCATGAGAAGCAGATGTGGACTGGAGCTGTGATTTCATTGTTAAAAAAACAACTTGTTCTGAGTGTAGGGAGTAAGATTAGGTTCCACCTTTTGCAGAAATTGATTTGCCTTGCCTCCTGCTGTGGTTTAACTCTAGTCTGCCTTGGCTGTTGGGCTAGGGGCTTCCTACTGTGGCTGGGTCTCAGAGGCTACCCTTTCAGGGCTTTCTTCTGCTTTTGTAGGGTCTGAGATTGCTCCTAAGCAGAATTCTGCTAGAGGCCTTTCTTCCATTGCCCCTGGGCTTTCAAGTTGCACTGCCTGTGGGACCAGACTGCTTTTGTTCCTTACTTTCCATCCAGCATTCTGATAGGTTTTTTGTTTTGTTTTTGTCCAGCCTTAGACAAGGACACACACACACACACACACACACACACACACACACACACACACACA